ACTTGAAAAAAAAACTATGGGAATGGACTCAACAACATGTTGATCCAAACGCGCCCTTAATATATGTCTCCTTTTTCTTTAGTTAGCTACTCCAATGCAATGACCAATGGAAATAAAAAAAGAAGAGTAAATTCTCAAAACGATCATCTCTGATAAAACGTTTTCCTAAATAAGTCTCCAATAAATTTTATTTCTCTGTAATTAAGATTTATTTTTTTGGTAAATCCTTCGTAAATAATATTACTCAAATGATGATTAATTGAGAGTATTTTGGTATTTATTATCAGTTAAATATAAATGAGTTTTTAAAATGATCATTTTTAATGAAATATTTTCTTAAAATGGTATTTTGAATTTAAAGATGTGTATTTGATTCGAACTTTAATTTTTAATAGGTTTTTAATAATTTATAGATTATGTATAGTCAATTTTTTTATTTTACATTTAATTGTATAGGAATAATCATTTAAAAGATATACATTAAATTTAGATGATAGAAATATCAAAATACCTTTTAATTAATCATCATTTGAATAATATTATTTGCGAAAGAATTACTTGAGGAATAAGTCTCAATTATAAAAGACTATAAAGGACTCAATTGGAAAAATACACTATTACAAAAGATCATTTTGAGACTTTACTCAAAAAATGAAAAAGAAATTTTGAAACAAAATGATTAAAAAAAAAGGAATGGTATGAAACGCAAATTTCTTGCAACTAGTGTACTCTTTACCGACATGTCCTTAGGTTTTCATAAGCTGTTTTTGCAGCTTATCAATGTTGGGTTGAATTGGGTTTTCAGTTGTGTTTTCCTGATTTGGTCAATTATTACTGCGGGGTAATAACTGGGGGTAGCTAGCTTTTCTCTGCAACCACTGAGCTGTTGGGTGATAATTGAGTAAAAGACCTGTAAACTCCCCTATGTTTGACTTGATTCTTCAATGTTTTTTACTGTTCTTTTTTTTTGTTGTTGAAGAAAGCTAGCTAGCTAGGATTCGGTATCTTTGTAGGGTCACTTTCTACAAAAAGGCCCTTGCCTGTTCTGAACTGTGAAAGAACACTAGCCAGTAAAAAAAACGTGGAGTAAAAAAGGCCCTCTGTCCTGATGTAAGTTTAAAATTGAGTAAATTCTTTAAATACTCCTTTATAAATTGAGGGTTTCATATTTAGTTCACATTTATCAAATATTATATTGAAATAGTCCTCTGTCTATTTTTCTGTCTCCATGCCGTTAGATAAGGGACCAAACGTAGAATGGTACCCAATCAATAAAGACCATAAAAATAATATTTTATAATATGGACTAAATATGAAAATTCTCCTGTTATAAAGGACTATTTGGAGAATTTACTTTTTAAATTCATTTTTAACATTGAAAGTACTACCTCCGTCTTTGAGTATTTTGTCTAATTTTGACTTTTTGCAGTCAACCATTTTCAACATTTGACCTATAATTAAATTAAATTATTTACATAAATCCAATAAAATCGTTTTTGTATCAATATCTAATATTAATTTTATTTAATTCATGGTCATAGATCACTGATTTTGACAAAAAAACTCAAAAGTAGATCAATACTTTGGCATTATTAGCATTATACTCTTATTTTGTAGATAAAAATTTGAAGCTCTTACATTATTAAAAACGGATAATAACTTTGAATATCTTTTTAATTCCTATCAATTTCGAATAGATTCTCGTATTAAAATTTAATTTTTTTGATAAACTATTTTTTGTGGTGTACAAATTTTGATTTTTTATAAATAAATTACAGTTATACATTTTTCCTATCTATTAATTTTTATATTAAAAATGGTTTAAAAAGAAAAAATTCTTCAAAAAGTTCTTTATAATATGGAATTTCCATATTTAGTCCATATTATCAAATATTATTTTCGTGGTTCTTATTGATTGGATAGCATTCCAGGTTTGGTCCTTGTCTAATGGTACGAAGATGGAAAAATAGACGGAGGACTAAACGTGGAATGATACCCAATTAATAAGGACTGTCTACTTAATATATGATAAATGTAGAATAAATATGGAAACCACCCATTTATAAAGGACTATTTAGAAAATTTATTCTTTAAAATTAGATCTTATGAGAAACTAGAAAGAGTAAAAAAATAATTGAAAGAAATTGGAAAATAATTGGACGAGTTGGAAAATGTTAGAAAAACTAAAGCGCAAAAAGAATTCAATTTAGTTGATCGCCTAAATGAATATGTGAAAACTAATTTTAGATAAAGATATTTCATATTTGTGAGTGTTTGAAGTGATGTGTTATAAATTTAGATATATGATGTTATGATATATTTCCTCTGTTCTCAAAAAAAGTTCAAATTTTGACCAAGCGTAAAAATAAAGAAGTGTTAAATCATAGTTGAGTTCTAATTTTGCTTTTGACGTGATTGGTAAAAGTAAGATTTGATGCATATATTATTAAAGAAAAAGTATGATGTGATAGGTAAGATATGAAAAAGTAAGGATAAAGGCACTTGAAATACTCCTAATGCCTACCGGCGTGATGGAGCTTTTCACGCCCCGGGGCGTTAAACACCGCCCCCGGCGGCGTTACCCAGTTGTGATGGAGCCTGCGTCAAAGAAATGACGCTGGTGGTTCCCCTCCCCCTCCTCCCCCTAACGGCTATTAGAGCCGTTGAAAACAAAAAAAAGAAAAATTAATTTTTTTAATATAAATTTCAAACCCCCCTTCCATTCCCACACCTTCAAACTTCTTCACTCTTCTTCACATTCTTCCATTCTCCAATTCTCCATCTCTCTTTTGAACATGAATCCTTCCGGCTCCAACTTCTTCCCCGATGATCTCGAGCCTCACGAGCACGCGATGTGGTATTTTCAACAATCCCGACGGCGGATCGTCAAAGAAAAGATCCTCCATCGACGCCGAGGTTGAGGTCGACGACAATATCGGTTCGTTGTCTGAACAAATGCCTCCCTTCAACGTTGCGGATTCCGATGACGAGGACCCCATTCCACGGACTATCGGAAGAAAGAAGGCAAAATCCATTGCCTCGGGTTCGGGAGGGTTCGGCTCTATTTCTGTTTCTTCTCGCGACGAAATCGGTCGGGCAATGGTTGAACAACTTCGAGTGTTCAATCTTCGAGAAGAAGAGAGGATGAAGCTAAACAAGCAGGAGATGAAGCGAAAGGAGCAGGAGGACGAGATCAAAATCATGGAAACCGACATTTCTACGTTATCGGGTTTCAAACAGATGATCTACGAGCGAAGACAAAGAGAGATTAAGGCGAAATATAATTTACATTAGTTTTTTTATTAATGTATCTTTTTTATTATTGTTGGTTTTTTTTAGTTTAATGAATGTAATTTTTTAAATTTTAAATTATTGTCGTTTCAATTTCTTTAAATTTAATGAAAGTATTTTTTTATTATTCGTGTTTCAATATAATTAAATAATAAATTAATTACATTTTATTACTTTAGTTTTAGAAGATATATATTTAAAAATGTAAAAAATGAAGGTTTGAAGCCCCAGTTTGAAGCCCCGGGGCTTCAAACCCATTTTCAGTGAATCTTTGAGGTAAGTTAAAGCTGACGTGGCAAAGAGAGAAATTTTGAAGCCCCGGTTTGAAGCTCGGGGCTTCAAGAGTATTTACAGTGCTCTAAACGTGGTTTTTTAATTGGAAAGTAGGAGTATTTTGTTGGAAGTGAACATTTTGAGAGAAGAAGTGATTTTGAGAACGGAGGGAGTATTCAGTATTTATTAAATATCTTTTTAAATCATTTTTGGAATAAACTAGAAGAAATTAGAAAAAATTAAAAGTTAAAATTTTCAATTCAAAAGAACATGCCCTTAGTGGAAGCATATTGGCATAGCGGCAAGGAAACCACTTAGTCTTTTCCACATTCAGTGCTCGAGCTTCGTTGATGCGCTTAAAAATTTGGAAAAAACTATAAAAAGTTGGAAAAAATTAAAATTTATTTTTTTAACCTAAAAGGACACACTCTTGTGAAAGGGTAGCGACAAGAAAACCACTCTAAGTTTTTTCAGATCTAGTGTTCAAGCCTCATTCATGCGCTTAAAAATATAAAAAATATTAGAAGTTAGTTTTTCCAACCCAAATGAAGATTTAGTGGAAGGATTCTTGCATAATGGCAAGGAAACCACTCCAAGCATTTATAAGATTATAAAAGTTGAAATTATAAGATTGAAAATATATGCTCCCTCCGTCCTGAAATATTTTACACTTTATGTAAAATGATTCGAAATTTCAAACTTTAAAATTTATTTTATTTAAAAATTGATATATAAATTAAAAATATAAATTACTCATATTTAAAAATACGGCAAAAATTTCACAAAACTAGAGATGACAATAATAATTTATTTTACTAAACAATCAATCAAAATGCAAAAACAAATAAACTTTTGCGTAACTTTTAAATAGTGTAGAGTCTAATCTTGTTGTGATAGAGAGTATTAAAGTGATGACTTTGAAAGCGGCTCAAAAAAGTCATTATCTTTCGTATTCTTAAAGAACGTCCTAATTGATTAATAAAAAGTACTCTCTATAAATGTTGACCGGTTTTCAATTCATTTAGAGGTACGTTGTCCAACTCATATTCGTTCCAAATGACTGTAACTATGTTATTTATGCAAAGTGTAACATAATTTGCGAAGTGTAACGTTTCATTCAACTAATTTTTGGTCCCTTTCGTCCGGTGGTTAAGACATCGTTTCTTCAAGTCGAAGACACGGGTTCAATTCCCGTAAGGGATAGGTACTCATTCCCGGCTGCTTTCAGTTAGTGTTCATCGCTGAGTGATCTTTGGGCTTGGTCCGGAAGCATCGTTTTTCCCAGCCCGCGGAACGGAATTTCAGCCAGCTCAAAGCCCACAAATACCAATAGAGCCCGAAATCGTGTTTTAATGGGTCGGGCCAGACCCGAGCCGAAAAAGAGCCCGGCCTGCACACTAGGAATTCGAAAACCGCTCCCAAGCCTCCCACACCAAATTCCCAAACAGATCTGAGTTTGGAGCTTCTCCCCTCTTTCTGCAGAAAAAAGTTCACCCGATTCTCCCTGCCCCAGAAAAATTCGATTTTTGGCCGGTCCCATCGGAGGCCTGAATCCGGTCAAGCATTTGCCTGCCCGGCGTGGAGTGTCCGCCCGATTTCTCCCCAGACTTGGCGTGTCCATGCTTCTTAGTGTATGAGAGCTTGAAAATTGGGGTTTCTTTGGCTTCTGCTATCTGTGGGAGCTCATTTCTTATGCCATCAGGGTAAGTTCCATTCTCCAGCGTTTGATTATGTTAAAAACGGTGGTGGGTTTGATTGTGCTGAGTTTTGGCGTTTGTATTTGTATCCATTTTCCCATCTTCCGTCATCTGGCATTTCCAAGATCAGATTCTTTTATGTACATGAAATAGGTAGTAAATTAATTTCAGGCACAGATTGGTTAAATTAAAATGCTGAGGAGGTGTAGAAATAAACCCAGAACTGGTGATGGTGTCCCGACTGAAATCGAGAAAGATGACCTTAGCGACGTCATTATCCTTGATAGCCCGGAATGTTTCCTCAAAAAGATTAAGCAGCCAATAACCCAGAGTAAATCCGCAAGGTGCTTGCTGAAGAATGTAATATTAATAGAGGACGATGATGGTGATGGCAAAGAAGACATCCATTCTGAAAGTAGTAGAGAAAGATATTTCTCACCCTACATGTCAGATGAGAACAGCGATGATTGTCTATTTGTTCAAGAAAGGAAAGCTCCAGTGAAGCTATCGAAAAACAGAAGAACTTACTCGAGGAGAGCAGTAAATGGTAATATCTATGGCTTTTCGGTTTCTGATTCAGAGACTAGTTCTGATTCTGACTGTGAGTTGATAATTGAATCTTTTGGAAAGTGTCCGAAAGAATGGGTGAAATCTTCCTCCAAGAGGATTAATCGTGACCAGAATACTGAATCACAACCTGAGCATGAACAAACTGGAGAAAATCACTGCATTCCTAGTATGGGTGCGGCTGGTGAAGAGAAAGAAGATGTGTTGCTTGGTGCAGGAGGAAATGACAGTTCTGGTGCTTCCAGTTCCGGGTTTCCAAATTGTGCTGAGGATATGGATATTGATTTTCAATATAATTTGAAAGACCCCTTTTCTGAACCATGTATATCAAAACCCATGTCCGGTGTCAAATTCTCCTGTCTCATGCAAGATAGTTCATTAGGTAAAGGGGATTGCCTACATGAAGATCTTTGTTCCTATGGTGATGAAAATGGTAACGAACACTGTAGTTTTACTGTTTGTGGAAGCAATTTTGCTACCAATTCGAACTCTAAGCTTACCAAAAAGTCAACCCATAGAAGCAGTGGCATTGAAGAGAAGAATATGTCTATGAATTACAAGTCACATAGTGAAGACACTAATGGTAACATGTATTCTGTCAACAATTGTAGCACTGGTCTAGTTGATAATTTTAGCAAAAATGTATCATATGATGAAGAAAAGGAGGAAGCCATACATGATAATAATTGTAGTACGTTGATTACTGAAAAAGAAAGGCTTAAAGAAACTGATGAGTACAAGAAGGCACTAGAGGAAGAACTGGCTTCTAGGCGGAGAGCATTACAGATTCAGGTGTGTCATCTATGCTGATATAAGTTTCCATCGGCTAGAAACTGGTTTTTTATCCTTTTATTTCCTATGCATGCTAAATCTAGTCTAGACATTGGGAAACTTGTCCAGGAACTGCATAGAAATATAAAACATCAAGCTTTAATAAGGTAAACCAGAGTCTTTGAACTCATCTGCCCATGCACATATGTTGATTTCATATCCTTCTGGAACACCTGATTACATTTTGAAAATTTTAGGGTTTATGATTTGATTTCCTCAAGAGACTGTCCTTGTATTTTATGACTACTTCAGTATCTTTGGCTTTAAGATGTAACTACTTTTCTTCTAAACAAAGCAAATGACTAATTGCGGGCTATGTGAAATGTTTCTTTTATTTTTTTCATTTCTATTGGTCAAAATTTATTTCAATCTGGTTTCCAATCAATACTTCTGGATAAGGCTCTGTTCCGTTCAACTTATTTTTTCTGATCTGATATGATTTTTTGTAGTTCTGGTCTGATCTGATCTGATTGGATCTGATCTAATCTGATCTGATCTGATTAATTATGATTTGATTTAAAATTCAAATCAATAATTTGATTTGAGTTTATAATAACGTTTGAAAATTGTAATGATAATTCATATTATAATATAATCAATATTTTT